TAATACATATATATATATATATATATATATATATATATATATATATATATATATACTGATCATTATGATATATCATCATAATCTAACTATAATTTATTATTATTAAAAGAATATTCCTTTATTATGATATTTTAAATTACAAATTTAATATTTTCTGAATTTCTGAATGAATTTCTTGGTAAAATAATACTATCTTCTAACATATATGTATAGATATTTAATTAAACATATCAACATTTTCATTTAGACATATTTAAGCTCTAATGCATTTTAAATCTTCCTATATAATTGTTGAGCTATTTTTATTATATTGTTATTATATATCTTTTTAAAGTCTAAAATTATAAATTGCGACTTTTCACTTATATAAACTTAAAAAAATAATTAATAAAACTCCTTTCCAATGCATCTCTCTTTGACTCCCTTAGTCATCGCATGCATACGAGGTCTACTTCGTCCCTTTATCACATATATGAAGATCTCTCCAACTTCATTTCTCTTTGAATCTCCTTTTCATTATCGCAGTTCTTTCTCACAATATCCTACTAGCTCGCTTGCTCGTCTCGTTCTCACCATCGCTCAAGCCCGCCGTCTCACTCTCTCGATTTAATTTACTCTCTATCTCTCACACTTCCTTTGCCTCTTGATTTCATATGCCCCGTTCTTTCACTCTTCCCTTGTTTCGTCCTCCAAATTGTGACCTGTTGTGATTTAATGGCGAAATCTTCCCTTTTGGATGAAGTAACATGCATAGCCAGTCTATTATAAATATATTTTAAAATTCTTTCTTCTTAAATATTATGAAATAGTCCTTGCAATGTTCTTTTTTTTATGGGAAGAGGGGGGGGGGGGGGGGGGGGGTTGCAATGCTCTATGGTGCATAATGTTGGCCATTAAAAAAGAAGTATAATATTAAGTTAATTGTCGCAGAGATGTGGATGCTCAGGTGGATGAGTGGCTTTACTCTTATATACAATATATGAAATGCGCATATCTATCAAAAAGTTGGAGTAGTTCCAGTGGAAGATAAGATTAGAAAGAATCGTCTTAGATGGTTTGGTCACATAGAATGACGGCCTTTCGATGACCCAATTAAGAAATTAGATGTATTAGATTTGACTTATTTTAAGAAAGGTAGAGGAGACCTAAAAAGACTAGGTTAAAAATTTTAGAAATGACATTTCTTTATTAAATTTAAATGAGAATTTGACTCTTAACATGACACAATGGAGAAAAAGGATTCATGTGGCTAACCCCACATAGTGGGATAAAGGCTTGATGTTGTTGCTGTATTGAAAAAGGGGGGGGGGAGTGCATTTTAGTCTCAAATTGTTTAAGTATCCAATTTATTCTATTGATTTCTCAATATAATCCAAAATAACCCAATAATTAGATCAAGTGTTTAATTTGTCAAAAAGTTTAAGCAAAGCTTACTAATGAGGTGGAGAATAATGTTATTTTTGAAAAATGATATTTTTGTAAAACATGATTTTTGTAAAATACCATATGTTGAATCATATTTGCATAAAGACCATTCTCTATTATTTTTGTGAATTTTAGGTGAAATTTCTATCAAATTAAACTCTTTTTTCTAATTATAAGTTCATTTTGTATAATATTTGAAGGGTCGGATGGTTGAAGTGGAGAAATGCATCAGCCTTGTTGTGTGATGGAAAAGTTTCCCTCAAACTTAAGAGAAAATTCTATAAGATGGTGGTGAGATCTGCAATGATTTATGGTGTAGAATATTGGACATTAAAAGAGAAGCATAATTGATGTAGAACGGGGTAGATGTTTCTCTTGCAATTGGGGGAAGAACAAAACAATCAAGGTTCTTGACAAAAAATCGAAATTAGTTCTAAATTCTATCCCCCAAAATCTGAAGGAAACCAACACTCAAAAGAGAATCTGAACGGGAGGTGATGGCAATAATCTGAAACAATTTTTTTTTTCTGAAACAGTTCAGATTTTCCTCCCAAAATCTGAGAGGAACTTCAGCAATCCAGAAACAGAGGAAGGGAACCGTTCCCAATCCTGAGAGAAATTCAGATTTCCCTCTTGAAACAAAAAGAATTTGACTAGGGAAACAATCTGAAACAATTAAGAGGAGGGAGACGGTGGGCAAAAGTAGGGAAAACAGTAGACTTTCTATTTCCAAAATCAGGGAAGTGATTTGGGAAATAGAATAGGAAATAGTTTTGAGGAAATTCTACTATGAGCAAAGTGGGGAGAAAAGGAAATAAATGTCTTATTCCATATTTCACGTGGAGGGATAGGGAGTTAACTTGTGCTGGCTAGCAATATGTTCAAATCCCAAATTTTCCCAAGATAAAAAAAAAAGGAAATCTGGACAGATTTTGGCCAGATAAAAAAAAAAAAAAAAAACGCAAGCCTCGGACTCTTCCGACGACTGACGGGTGATGCTTTGCCCTTCTCCAAGGAACTTCAATTCACGAGCCCGGACCAATCCTGCGGCTGGTGACAACTTCGATTCCTTCCCATAGGAATCCCACTCTCGTTCTCTCTCAAGAAGAACACAAGTGTGGAAAAACAATTTTTCATATCAATCAATCCTCCTTATTACAATAGCTTAAGGCCCTATATATAGGCCACATCATGAGAAAATCAAAAATTACAAAAATGCCCCTTGGACCACCACACTCAAATAAACAAACCTAGGGGTAGAACATGAAATAACATAAAATAAAAGCTAAACTTCATAAAATAAATCATAAATGACAACGTAAATTAGAGCCGTCGATTTACGACGCCTCCTGTGATAGATGCGCCAAATCTTCGTGCCGATGTCCGCATCAATAATATAAGTTAAGTGTTGCAAAGATGAGGATGTTCAGGTGGATGAGTGGCTTTATTCTTAGAGATAGGATGCTAAATGAGCACATACGTGAAAAGGTTGGAGTAGCTCTAGGGAAAGATAAGATTATAGAGAGTCGCCTTAGATGGTTTTGTCACAGAACGGCGGATATCGATGACCTGATTAGGAAAGTAGATGTATTAGATTTGACTTATGTTAAAAAAGGAAGAGGTAGACCTAAAAAGACTTGGTTAGAAAATATAAAAAATGATATTTCTTTCTTAGATTTAAATGAGAAGTTGCCTCTTAACAGGACACAATAGAGTAAAATGATTCATGTAGCCAACCCCACAGTGGGATAAAGGCTTGTTGTTGTTGTTGTTGTAGTATTTAAAATTTTAAAGATTTGTATTGTTATTGTAATAAAGCAGTATTTGCATGCATGGGGCTGATCTTAGATTATTCTTAATTAATTGCAAGTCCATTGTGGCATTAAATATTGTATAGAAAAGCTTCAATTTCTATTTTTATTTGTTGAATTTATGAGTCCCATATTCTTTTCTTGTAACTGCTACCGTTTTAGGCAACTTTCAAGGATCCGCTCTTACAGTCGTGCTTGATGGAGCAACTTTGAGAACTGAAGAAGTTCACAGCCTTCAGCTTCCTCCACCATGGAAGATTCGTGGCAACACTCTGAATTATGGATTAGGGTTTGTTGGCAGTTACTTCATTTGTGATATAATGACAATGGTTACCGGTGGCTGCTTCTTTATTTTTGATCCGCTTGGGTTAGTTCTTACTGCATCCTCTGGTGGTACTCCCTCAGCAAAGCTTTTTTCCTTGATAGGTTGGTTCATTAGCTTTATCTTGTTCAATTTGAGAAACTCATTGGACGCAATTGTTTATTATTCTTTAGTAAAGTTACCTTGGATCTAATTTTTTTTTTTATCGTTGGAGTTATCTTGTAAACCTGCCACATACAAGTGGATAGATTATTCTAACAAGCACTGCGTCATTGGTGCTCGTTAAGTGGAAACTTTATTTGATCAAAAGACAAATACACCGTAGTAATGCTTTGTCAAACATAAAGTGAGAATTAGTTTTTAAGATTAGAACCTTTGAATTCAATTTTAAATAAGGAAGTTATGAGCCATGAATTTGTGTCTTTGATGAAGTGCACTGGTGGTTGTTTTAATATTATTCCATCTCTTAAAAAATTGAGGCTTTTCCTTCTTTAGAAAGTTTCACTGTTTTGTTAATATTTACATAGCTTGATTTAAAAGGAAACATATATATACTTCAGATTTGTACACGTTTATGCCAGTTTAGTGATATGCATTTTCTATATGGTTGCCTTTTATGGAAGCCTGATACATTTACCTAATTGCACCATTTACTTTTTTTATTCGTTGTTGATTTTATGATAAGTATTGTTATCAGAAATTTTATCAACCAGTTAATCTTTCTTTGCAGAAAATGACTTGACTGAAAGATTTCCTGATCAATTTAGCCCACTGCTTATGAAACAAGGGTTTTGCTCAGTACCTTTCGATTCAACATTTATTCGCATGCCATTATCTTCAAAAGGCTTGGAGGAGAACGGATTTGGTTGCAAGAGAGTAATGCATATCTTTAATAGATTCATGAATCAAGCATCGTCAGCTCTCCTCTCACTGAAGTCTATTTTTCAGGTAATATCGATTCATCTCATATGAAAAGTTCTTGCAAATTGATTAAAATGATATTCACCTCTCAACCTATCGCAACATTGCTCTATTAAAATTGGTTCCTCTTTTGTTAAGCCCAACAAATTCCATCGCAGGCTTGCAGTAGCCCTAATTTTTTAAGGTCGTTGCACATTGCCTATGACTTATTTTAGTTGGTTTAACCAGCTAATCTTTTATGGATTAGAAAGAAAAAGGGTTAGTAGGACATGGAAGTGAAATGCCAATAATTAGGTTGACGATTTTGATAGTGTAGTGAGATTGCTAATGGTCTAGTACTGGTGATTGTCAGTGAAATTAGTATTTTTTTATTAGAAATGAGTAAAGCCATGAGCTAATTTTTAGCTATAAATGAGCTTACGCATAGGCATTAAGGCCATTATGGCCAACCCTTTTAAACCTGTGCCTAGTTATCCAAGCCATTAGGGTATTCTGAAGGTTAAAACTCTCTAGCTAAAAATAGGTAGCTCAAGCCTTTTGAAACCCCAAGTCCTAAAGTTAAGGAATGGTTACTAATTTTTTAATTGATTTGTGAGACTTTTGTAGAATATTCTAACAACTATAACAAGGACATGGTTCTGTTGTGGATGTAGGGGGTGAACCCTAAACCCTAAAAGTATTATCTTCGTGATTAGCCTATAAATGTTATGTTGCGTTCTTAAACTATACTTTATCGTGACATTGTAGGATTCAAATATGAGACTTCATATATTTGATTGCTATCTTTCTACAATTGGTAAACATAGATTATCCAAACTCTTATAGTAAGGGTGAGGGGCAAAGCCGGGTAGGAGGGTGGGGATGGAGAAGAGGTGGGTGTCATGATTCGACTTAGAAGCTGAGACTATTAAGGAGGAAATAGACGGTCATATTGAAAATTAAATACTTTTTATTTATTGCACAAGTTCTTTTCATAACATTCAAACTATTTTTCATTTAGAGAAAAGGGGGGTCAAAATAAGTTGGGTTGTAATTGGGCTTGGCAAGCTTTGGGTGTGCTAGCTACTTGGGTTCTTTGGGCTACTGGCTGCTTCTCAGGTTAGGCCTTGGTTGCTCTGTTTGGGCTGTGTTCTTTGAAGACTACTTGGTTCTAGCTCATAAATGCTTAAGCTAATGTTTAGCTCATTAATTTGAAAAGGTATTCCTCTTATTAGCTCATTAAGTGGAGTTGGATCTTTGCCTTTTCCCCTTCTTTGTGTCCCCTCAGTTTCTTCCTGGTGCTGTTCCTTCCCCTTTTTGGGTTGGTTGTTCTGGTTCTCCAGGCTGCCTGTTCCGGTCTCCCTGGCTACTGGTTCCGTTGCCCTGTGCTTCCCCTTCGGTTCCTCCCCTGGCTGCTTGTCTCTTGGCTGTTTTGCCCCATTCGGTTCCTCTCATGGCTGCTTTTTTCTGTTTTCTGTGTGGCCTTTTCGGGTGCTGTTCTGGAATGAATTATGGCCTTTTGTTTTCCCCTTTTTAACTGGTTTAATTGGAGATAATTGGGGCTGTTTGGCTTCCCTCTTTTGTCCTATATATATATATATTAGATGTTTTTGTTGAAAAGAGAGTTTTATGAAAGTAATTTTTGGAAGAAACCTGAGGATTTTCTAGGATAGCTTGCGAGCTATGTATCCCTTTCTCCTTCTCCTAGGATAGCTTACGAGCTATGCCTTCTCTTCGTCTTGGCTTTTTATCTCCTTCTTCTTTCCGCATGTTCGACACCGCTTGTATCCTTCTTCTCAAGCAATGGAAATGCAATTTTAGGTGTTTTATGTTTGTCAAGAGTTGTAAGGTGTTTGTTTTAATGTTATAAGTTTGCAAGGGTTGTCTTCATCCTATAAAAGTCATATTGTGTTTAAATGTTTTATTTTATCTAAATTTTAGTATTTTGTGTATTTTTTTATTATCCTAGGAAGAGTTTCTCTTGCTTGCAAAAATTTGAATCTTCCAATCTAAAGGATATCAATGTTTTTTTTTAATAAATATTTCACAAGATATTACAATTTTTTTTATACATATACATGCAAAATGGAAACATACATATATTTATGTTATTAATATCTATCACACATTGTAAATAAACTCTCTTCTTTCACTCATTTAAATTGAGGGTGATTTTTCTAAAAATGATTTTCAACTAATGAGACGAGTAAGCAACATAGATGATAATCATATTTCTAAATCATAATAATTCCAAAATTAGAATATAATATCATATAATTAATAACATAATACTTTTTCTGAAATAGTAAGTATAAATGCATTTGTAATTTGTCGATGGTTAAATAAATAAATAATCATTTATCATGATAAAGAATGACTTAATTTATCTTATAGCATATCCTCTCATAACAGGAGCATAATCTCTTGTTTATTTTTTTAAATCAAAAGGTACATTCATATCAATAATGTTTTCAAAATCTATTATATAGCCTAAATGAGAGTAGGTGATCATTTTATGTGCAAGTACAAGCATGCCTAACTAGTACTATGAGGTGGTGAAATGCTTCTTTAAGCACACATATGCTTATATTTCAAATTATTATATTCTTTATTGTTATTGCAAGAAAATTCAACATATGAATAAAGGCACATTCGGATCAAGAACCTTTTCAAAATCTTTCATACCACCTAAATGAGAGTAGGTAATCATTTTATGCATAAGTGCAAGCATTTCTAGTCAGTACTATGAGGTGTGAATTGCATATTTCAAATTATCATATTCTTTATAATTCTGTCAAGAAAATTCACTATATCTTTTTTTCTTTGAGCAATTGAAAAATGATTTCTAATTAATTCTTAACAATATGAATAATATTTTGTGCCTAACTCACAAAATTATTTTAAAGATATTTTATTTTTAAACTTGCAATATTAAATGCACATCAAAGTGTATGACTATCAGAACTTTTAAAAATTTAGAAAATTGAACACTAGTGCTGGAAAACAAAAATATAATTACCCATCTTACTTGGAAGATTAGCTTGTCAATTTTTCTTATTCCTTGTATGTTTTCTTTACATGATTCACCCTTATCAATGTAAGATTTTGATTAATTTCTTTAAAAAAATTTTGATACATGAAACTCTCTTTATCATAATTTTATCTCTTTATTTATAATATTTTTACTTTCACTTAATTGTATAAATTATATTTAATTAATTTTTATTTTTATTCAAATATATAAACCATTAACACCTTTGGATTCTCTAATTTATTCCTTAGCATAATATTATAGTTAATTTACTAATTTTTAATATTATACAATTAAAATCTTATATACCTATATAAGTTGTTCATTTTCACTAGTCTACTTAAGCTATTTATATAGATTTTTATCAAAATTTGCTCTCATTATATATATATTCCCTAGTACCCAATGTTGGATAAATTTTGTCATCCTCAACGAATTGAGATATTTTGTGATCGAGTACGACATAAAAAATAATATATTATCTCGAAGAGAAAATATTATTTTGCTGTGGAGTCAATAATAAAACTTACAATTTTAATTTTAAAATAGATTTTCGTCAATTCAATGTTTGATTTAATATGGTTTATTTTATTCTGGGGTACAAATACCATAAGGACAAGTTACGTCTTAAATATTTGTTATTTGAGAACACTTTTGATTAAACTAGTAATTTTTTTTAGAGTCATCAAAATAATATTTTTATTTTTAAACTCGAGAAATTCTTATCAAAAGATTTGATCTTTGGGAATTTCAAAGATGATGAGATCAATTTTAAATCAAAATTTAAGAATAAGAGTCAAAGGGAGGAAAATATAGGAGTAATTGATTCTGAGGAAATTCATAGGTACTCAAACTTTCCTATGTTAGGCTTTACAGTTTAAATTAGATTTTTGTTCAAGTTGATCAATTTGATTTAGAATGTTGGTGTTTATAATTCAACAACATATGTTGAAGAAAATGCCCGGTGTGTGAGGGCTTATGAAGTGACTGGAAGTCAAATGATAGCCTCGGATTCTAGTGCTAAGTTGATGACTACTAAGGGGTAGTACCTTGAACTTAAGTCTAACGGAGTGCAATGGATTTATAATTTCATACCTCACACGAGGCATAAGTAAGCTGGACCTCTGAATTCTCAACCCTGCCTAGAAAGGGCTACTAGCTAAACCCTCTTAGTCTGGTCTTAATATGTATGAAGAGTAGGAAAAAATATTTTAATTTAAAAGATAGGACTTACTACTCGACTTTTAGGCCAAGATGTCGAACCATATGGGTATGCATATGCTGTCTCACTGAAATATAGATTTTTGTTATCTAGTCATTAAGTGAATACTTTCTACATGTGACATACTGCAATACATGATATTTTTGTTTTTAAAAATTTGGCTCATTAGAATGAGCCATGCAAGTTTTTTCTTTTATTTAGAAAATCAGTTATCTTATAATTGATTTTAGATTGTTTATGTATTAATTGGTAAAAAATTAGTTTTTATCCGAAGAGCCTATCACATAACAAAAGTCCAGGTCATCCCCAAGCAAAGCAAGTGATGAAATCTAGTAAAAAGCATGTATTTCTAATGCACACTCAACAAGCAATCAAAACATGCTTGTATGTATATAATCAATCAAATCATGAAAGTAAATAATGTCCAAATTATTACATCCATTGTTGGCAGCTGAGTTGTCTGCTATTATACAACCTAGTCAATTTTTTTTAGACTCAGTCTACGGGGTCTTCAAGCTTTTGCTTCTAGGTCAATCTTGGGCTTTACCTATCTTAGGCTCATCCTTCTGATCTACTTCTTATATAACTATATCCCACAAGCTTATCATACATCCTAAATCTAACAAATATATTTTAAAATGTAAAAGTCTTAAGTCTGCAAAATAGAAAGAGGGTTAGAACCAGTTTGTATGACAACAAATAAACATCACAGAATTTTCTAGCACTTAAAATGTCAAACCCTGTTTCTACCACCTCTTGGCCATGCCTCCTTGGGGGGGTTTAAGCAGCCCCTAC